CCGCGGGGGGCGGGGGACAGGGGAGGGGGCTGCGCCTCTGACTTAATGCTGGAACCATCCACGTCACGTGCAGCCCCGCGCCGGTTAACCCCTCGGAGCCCGGAGCCCCCTAATTCACCCCAGCCCCCTTATCTGAGGCCATTCGAGGGCAGGGTCCCTTTTGTCCGCTGGTCCTGGTGAGCGCCCCGTTCAGACCTGCACTTGGGCCCTGAGAGCCTGCCCAGAAGCTGCCGCCGCCGGGAGGTGAGGCGATTTGGGAAGCAGAGTCTCTCCCCACCCCAGCAGACACTCTTTCAGGCCTGGTCTCCCAGGACGTCAGCCTGGAGTCACAGGCCCCCAGGGCAGCTAGGGACTGGGCTGGACTTGACCTAACTCTCTGCTGGGAGCTGAGAAAATAAGGAGACCTCCAGCAAAATCGCCTCCTTCAAGGATGCCCACTTTCTCACAGGGGAAGAAATCCTGGGTAGTGCTGTGGACAGAGCTCCAATCTGGTCTGGCGCCTGAGAAAGGGGCCTGGGCACTGACATTAACTAGCGGTGGGAACTTGAGCCAGCCACTTAGCATCCTTAGCTGGCTAGGGGGCGTCCCTCACAGGGCGTTTTAGCAGCAGGGCAGGCAGGGAGATGGTAGGGACAGCTTGGTCCTGTGGAGTCCTGGAGGCGGCCTTTGGAGCAGGTGTAGGGGTACATAGCGGGATTTAAGTCTGGACTGCTCCCATCATGAAGTGAGAACCATGTAGCGGACACATGTCCTAGAAGTGCCAAGGGACCCACAGGAAAGAAGCTACCTGCGCCTCAGACCTCAGGGGTCCCTTGCCCCAGCCTGCTATTTTGAAGAGAAGTGAGGTAGGACCAACTTCCTGAGAGCTGGGTCTCTCTAGCCTCAAGAAAGCAGAGGGCTAGGACAGCAGCATAGAAACTGGGAAAGGAGAAGCCACTCCCACCCTATTTAGGATCTGGAAGAAGTAGCCATGGTCCCTGGGGCCCTGTTATCTTCTGGGGATTGAGGTGTTTCTAAATCTGGGTTAAACCACGTTTATTTCCCGTGCCTCCAGAGACTAGTGAGAAGGGCTGGGGGTCAAACATCATTTGTATTTCATTTGAATTCTCAATTTTTAAAGGAATCCAAGAGGTCTGGTGTGAACACCTCCCTCTTCCGCTGGGGGCTTAGAGGGGGTTTCTTGGCTGTCCTCAGCCAGAGTGGGGCTATAAATCAAGGCCAAACAGGAACCAGAAGCCTTGCATCTCACAAGTAGTCATTAAGCCATTATTAAACATACCGTAACTTCTCTGGAGCCTATTGGTTTAAACACCACATTGGAGGCATTATGGCCATTAAGGCCCCCTAATCACAGGCTGCAGACTGGGGCAGCCCAAATGGGAGCCCCTGGGGTTGGTATTTCCAGCCAAGAGGGAGCTTAGAATTAAACTTCTTTTCTGGCCTCACCGAAGGGATCCATATTTCAGAATCCAGTTGATCCATGCTCTGGGCAACCAACCCAAAGTGATCACTTTTGACCATTAATAAGAAATTGCAATGAAAACCTTACCTCTTATTGGGATAGGGTCATGGGCATTGGCTTTTTAGGGGGACGTGAGTGTCAATACAGTGTACCTATTCTATTCAATGAAGTTCTCAAGTAGCTTACAAATAGGACATAAAAATGTCACCAACTGATTAAATAAGGTAGTTTGGCTTGAATGCAGGTGTTTTGCCTTAAATAATAACCCTTTTGAGCCTCAGTTTCCTCATCATGGGCAGGGGCCAAACACATGGAGCTGGGGAGCTTCAGAGGGAGGCACTCGTGTTTTCACAGATGTGAAACGCTGCTCATCGAAGAGATCCTTATGACCATTATGGTATTTGGAAGCAGCAGCCCAGACTTCTGGGGTACATCTTGGAACTAGAGAAAAGTTCCTGCTCCTGGACTATATGGATCTGCCCCTCTTGCCCACCTGTAAATAGCATCTATGTCCGTGCTGAGACGGTGTTGCCAGCTGAACTGAGGGGGGGGGATGCCCCAGGTTACCTGGAAGGTATGGGTCAAGGCCTCTCTGGGAGGGGTTCTCCCAGCTCCCTGCAAGACAGGGCACTTACAGGCTCCTTGTCTGCTCCCCTTTTAAGCCACTAGTCCAACTCTTCTTTCCATCTGTCTTCAGTCTGGGAGAAGTTTGATGAGGCAAGTGCATACAAACTCAGCCCCACCCCAGCGAGCTCAGAATTACCAAGGAATTCATAGGAGAGATTGTGGGCTACCCCGGGTCCTTCTTTTGCAGATACAAATAGTAGCTAACACTTCCAAAGTATTTATTGTGCCGGACACTGTCAAATGCATGATGTATACATTGGGTTACTTAATCCTCTCAGCCACATGAAGGAAGCACGATTATTACCACCAAGACTGAGTCCACAGATGGGAGCCACACAGCCACTTAGTGGCAGAACCAGAATTTCCTCTCAGATCCATGGCCTCCCACCAGACACCATCTCTTGGTCACTTTTGGGCTAATAGAACACATCATTCAGGGCACAACCTTCTTTTCCCAGAAGGTCAGGATTTCTTGAAAGGGAAGCCATAGCCAGAGGGGTTCAGGACAGAGCTGGTCAGGGAGGGAGTCACACATTCCCTTCCCTGTCACCGAGTGACAGTTCATTGAGATTTGCTCAACCCAGCTGTGGTGGCTCACAGTGGGTGCAGGGCAGTTTCTGCTAAGCGGAGTCAAAATGAAAGCACGTCTAACACCTGAGAGGTTTTATGACCCTCTGGCACAGCCAGATGTGAAGCAGGGTTTTAATAGAAGTGGTGAGTCCACCATTCATGCTGTTTAATCACCAGTTGAATTACAATAACATTTGTCATGGATATAGTGTCCATAGAGTAAGCAAGAGGGGCAGAAGAGATAATCTAGGTAAATCTAGGTCCTATGGTGGAAAAACTTCCAAAAAATATTTCTCCACCTGCTGAGAAAAACCACTTAAAAATGCAAGTGCTACTTACTGTCTATTTCTTCCCCCTTCCCTCTCCCCCCTCCCAGGGAAGAGAAAGAACATCTATTAAACCCTTTATATATAATCTCTGGGGATACAGCAACTTTCCATTTTGTAGATGAGAATTTGGACTGAGGAGATTAAGTAACTTGCCCATGAATCATACCAGAAATGCACCGCTCCAAAGTCTCTGGTCTTAACCTTGACTGTGCCTGGAAACCCAATGATCGCAGAGATTTTGATCTCACTGGTTAGGTGAGACCTGAAACTTTGTAAAGCTTTCCAGATAATTCTAACATGGCCCTGAAGCTGGCCATCGCTGCATTGTACCATGAGGCTTCCTGGTGATCTAGATTAACTTCTGCTACCCCAGAATTCTGCAACGGTTTTGCATGGGCTAATTGTTTAATTCATTCATGTACTAGGAGGACCTGCTGTGTGACAGGCATTTGCTGGCACTGGGATACAGCAGAGAGCAAGACAGATAGGGCTCTAGTTTCCAGGAGGTGCATTTTGCTGGGGTGACATGTCTCCTCCACAAGGAAAAGGACCTCACTTGGATGTGAATTGGAAAGGAGCCTATTTAGAGAGCAGAAGTCCTGGTTTCTCGCCTCAAACTGGAAGGTCAGTTCTTGAAGTAGGAAAACATCAGTTTCAGCCACTGCTTTGCCTTTGACAACCCCCCAAACCCATAGCACAAGAAAATGAATGCTCTTCTTTTTCTCCCAGTGGCCGTCCAAAGTCCAAAGGGCTTGGAACGACGGGAAAGATGTAACCTCAGATCTGACATTTGCTTGGCATGTAAAAAAACTTCCTCCCAGACAGGAAAAACTCAACAGCTTTCTTTTTTTCTTCCTTCGGAGGAGAGATAGTCGGTGTTACCTTGTCTAGTTTAGACTCTGAAATCCTAAATTGATCCCTATGAAAATTCTGGGTTGGGTCTGGGAGCCGTGGCAGATTGTTTCTCATTAGTGACATTCTTCCTGGAAGGTCAGGCTGAGGAATGGTAAATAAACCTCCAGATCCTGTGCTTCCTCCTCACCCAAGATATTTAAAAGAAAGGGAGAGGGGCAGGCGGAGGGAAAGCTGCCTGGCACACAGAATCCTTGGCTTTCATGCTGACAATTCAGGCTCGTCTGTGCTTTGGGGTGAAATGTCTGCACAACTTCTTCTCTTCCGTTGATTTTATCTGGTTCATTGGGAGAGTCACTTAACCTCTCTGTACCTCAGTTTCTTCCCTGGAAAACTGAAAGGAACAATTTTGTAGTATAGCTTTCCTGGAACGAAGGAGACTGTTTATACAGATGTTTCTGGAGCCTGAGTCTCCCAAACCTCCATTTCTCTGCTCATCTTGCTGGCCCTGTCTCTGGGGTTGGGTTGGCGGGGGGCAGGGGCGAGGGCAGAGCCAGGGCTGGGATGGAGGTGTGGCAATGGCCTGAGGCCTGGCTGGCCCCCTTTACCCCTGTCTGCAGCCTGGAGCAAAGGTGAGGGGGGTCTGTGGCAAGTGCAGATCACGAGGAGATTTTGATGGGCTCATTCTTGGTGCAAAACATAGGGGCAGGCTTATCCTTCCTGGCTACTTTAACACGGACCAGTTCACCTTGCGCTTTTATTTATTTCCAAGCCTTTACGGAGTTCCTGCCTTGCCGATGGCACACACCAAGGACAAATGGCAGAGACACAAACACTCACCCTCGGAGTTTTCCCAGACCAGCAGTGTGGGGGCCGGAGAGCCGGGCCTCGGCGGGTGAGACGGCACCTGTCCCAGCCTTGGCCGGCTG